GAAACAAGTGCAGAAGCATTTTGCAGAAGCAATCCACCCGTTCTCTCAGGCACCAAGAGATTACCCATTCTCTCAAGCACTAAGAGATTGCAAGAAACTGAGAGAAGAAAGATAGAAACACACAAGCAACATGAAAACCAAAATGGATCAGATGGCCTTCGAGAAAGAAAAAGCTGTGTTTACAATATACAGTAACAATGTTTCAAGACTAATCAGAACAAGAAAAAGTATTTTCTTAAAGAAACACAAAGATATCGAGAATTTATATTTTTCATCCCAAAACCTTAGCCTTACACAAAACACCTGGAAGAGTTTTAATGATAAAATGTCTGCTTGCCAAGATATCTAATTATAATAAGTTGAGGAGCAAAGGAATAATTAACAAGATGAAAGAACATATGTCAGTACTGTCGGTATATATTTCATATTTGACAATAAATAGCTTGTCATATTAAACTCAAAAAACACAAAATGAAGCAGAGACTCCCACAACATAAATATCAGATCAGATGATCATATGTGCATAAAGAAGTAGAGAAATTCTGAAGCACAGCACAACAAAGATTTATACCACTATGTAGAAAGCCTGTTAAGTTAACATTCAATTTTACAGATAGAAAAAGATTAGCAAAATTGATATTATTGACCACAAAAAAATTAGCAGAGAAGAAAAGACCTAGAAGAGGCAAGGAATTCCTCTGCTATTTTCAAGGATAGCTTACCGCCCCCGCGGGCTACCAGAAGAAGCAGTGGCTGAAAGAAGGGGTAAGTCTAGAAGTTGGGTATTCCAGAAACCTCTTTGGCGGCCCAAAGTTGGTTTGTTGTAGCACGGCCCAGCACCCAGGTTAAATGGGCCGAAAGCCGTGTCTACTGTATACATACCTAAAGTTATTTTATTTTATTTCATTATTATTATTTTTTTAAGATTTAGACTATTAGAATGTTTTTAGACCAATTTTCTCGAAACTAAACCATTTGAGAACAACTTTAATGTGCATCCTTACAATATCTAGCATACTCAATGAAATTAAATTTTCTTAAAATGCTGGCTCCAAGACTTATTATATTTATCCAACCCCTATGGTAATCCTCTCCCTTAACTTATACTACTAGAAGAAATTAGTGATCTTATCTATATCATGCTCTACTTATAATTTTCCTTATTTTTATTGAAGTTTTTTTTCTAATTTTACAATTCTTATTACACTAGATTATAAAATATAAATTGTTAAATAAATAATAGATCTCAATATCAAAAAGCATATTTTATTTAATTATTTATATTATATAATTTAATACAATTTACTTTACATAAAACTTTTTTTATATTATAGTGTAAT